GAAATCCCGAGGGCTCTGCAGCTGGTCACTGTGACCTGGTCAGTGTGGCAGAGTCGCTTATATCTGTTAAGGAACAGTGTAGTACATGTCTTCAATTTTCCATCCTGTGTGTCTGCTTACTGCCTGCTTGTGTCAGACACAGTGGGTCTTGAAGGAAACTTTGTCACAAACAGGCTTTTAGAAATCAAATAAGCCTTGCTATTGCCTTGGACCATTGTTCTAATGCATATTTATTTTACCTACAAGCCAATTCCCAAAAGCAAACCTCTAAATACCACTTTTTAGCCATCAATACCGTTGTGCATACCATTTGGTTTCCTTCTAGGCTTTAGGCCAGTGCTTCCAAAAGTTTTCCTTAGCATGACTCCATTTACGGCCCCATTGCCTCAGCATGACCCCATTTCCTCAGCATGGACCCTCTGACTCGCAACTCATAGCTCCCCACCCCCATGACTCCATCCGCTGATGTTGCAACTTGCTTTGGTGTCACGATCCACAGTTCGGGAACCGCTGCTTTAGGCCTCTCAAATAATCTGCACAGTCTGGGGTTTGACAGAAAGTAGAGCCTAAGAAAGCACATTGTACATAGATCCATGCCTATAGGTACCTGTATGAGCATGGAGGCTGCTCCAGTGTGCTGTAATTACACACAGTGCTGGCTAGAATTGAAAGATATTAGGCCTGATCCACTTGTCAGAGTGGGATGCCGTTGCTTTTAGTGTGGAGGAAGTACAAAGAACTCACCAGCCAATGCCTTGAAAAGCCTTACACACAGAGTCAGAGCATTTGCTTCTAGTGTTTCCCAACATGATAAAATTTGAGTTGGCGCTGTATTAAGAAATACAGATTTAACAAAAAAAATCAAACTAGGTCCTTCTTTGATAAACACTTAGAAAAACCTTTATTTATTTCATGGGGAGAGTTAATAATCAGTCCTCTTTCGTTTGGATGGAAAAAAAAAATCATAGCCACTTCTCATTTAATAAAATTGGCTAGAGTCTGTCTTTTTTGTCCTCAACTTGTATATTTCTATTTTGAGTGAACATAAAAGCATATTTTCTTGCCTGCTGAGTGTTCATTAAATCCACTTCCAACTCTTTGCAGCCATTAGAGCACTAGTTATGCTCTGATCTTACTGGCATATTGATTTAATTGTATAAACATTTCTTTCTTCAAATAATAATAGTAAATATAATAACTGACACTTGTACAATGTAGTCCTTCATCCAAAAGGCCTAAAGTACTTGAAAAAGATTTAAAAGAGGGGAAAATTGAAAGAGCAACACTTGTTATTGAAATATGGTTATCATCAGGCAGCAAGACTGCATAACTATTGGGAAGAATGCAAAGGAGCTAGGGGAGACTTTAGAAAAATGAAATATATCCGAATGGATCCCATCCAGGGACCAGACCTCCAGTATTGCTCTGTAAAACCTACGAGTTTCAATTCCCAGGAGTAGCACATATCGAAACCAGGAGAAAGGGGAACCACCAAGGCTTTCACCCATTGCAATTCACTTCCAGTTTCAGGGTTGTGTTCTGGAGCAGCCTCCTCTAAACAATTTCTCAATAGAAGCTCTATTACCTGAAGTAGATTGTGGGACTGAAGAATGAGGTGGGAATCTATGGTCCTTCTGAGTCTCTTAGCATTTGGATGACTTGCCTTCTCCACCATTCTGCTTGCACCACTGTATACAGACACCTGTTCCTCTTTATATCTAGTGAGGCAGTACTGCAACTTAAGAGACCCCTTTGAGGATTACTGCCGTGCCTATTTGGGATTTCTACAACAAAACAGGATATTGGCTATCTGAAAGTTTGTGAGATGCATTTCTCTCATTGATATGACATCGTAACAATAACTACCGCAACTTTGGGGGATGACAAAGAAACATACAGAATTCGGACTTTGTGAATTTAATCACCAGTGCACAGTGATGAACTCCAAAGGGCCAATATTCTTCACAACTGGGTTATAAAAAAAAGAAAGAAGAGGAATACACAACTATACGAACAGAACTGTCCATAAGAAGAGGTATTCGGAGTTTTCTCTGAGGCCTAGGAGTCATTTGTTTACCTAATAATTCATATAAGTGTTTTAGAGTCTTGGCAAAATTTACCATTTGGTAAAGAAGACTATCGATTTGAGATTATTTTTCCTGGTTAAGGTGACACATTGCAAACCACATATTAGATGGAAGGAGGCTCTATTAAGAGCCCACTTAAACTCTTCATTATGCTGGAATAATCTAAGTAACAATGCTCTTTAATTACCAAAGAACTTCTGCACATAAAAGCACTTCAAATTACATAGAGACTGAGTGACAGCAATCTTTACACAGCACTGGTGAACACAGATGTTATATTGTGTCATTTTCAAAAGCCAGTTTTCAGACACTATTTTTACAGTAGCTCAGTAATCCCCAGAGAACCACCAAGAAAGCTAAGAGAAGTTTTCCACTAAGCATCCTGCCTAGGGAGGCATTCTGCACACCACCTCTTGAACCTGTTTCCTACTCAGAAATGGATTCAAGAATTATTGAGCCAGAGAAAGAGAAAACAAATGGGCGCACCAGTACCCTAACAGTCACCTTGAATAAGGGTGCTGCATCAGCGAATAAGTAGCATGAAATACTTGAAATACTGATAGAAGCAGGGGCTGGAGCCCAAATCTACTTTTTCCTAGACCAGTGCCCTCACCACTACAGAAGAGCAGCTTTTAAACATGTCCCTCTCCTCAGCATCTCCTGTTGGAGATTTTCAGGAACTCCTACTCAGGTGTTAGATTTCCCGAATTTCATTTAGGTGCCTATTTTCCCTGCTGAATGAAATAGGAAAAAACTTAACAGCTATGGATACCCCTAGGCTGCTATATGCCTACAAGTTAGGTTTTGCAACAGTGAACAAAAACCTGTTTTATGGATCTAGGTCTTCTTGCCTGCACAATTGAAATGCCCTTTTTTCCTGTACCTCCTCAATTCTTATTCCATAAACTCCCTGAAAGTCAGCCGCTACTGAATCAAAACCCACTTCTATTAATGTCTTCCATCATTGTTTATTCCAAAGTAAAGTTGCCCTGCTTTGCTTTCAGTGGATGTATATAGCTCTGATTTTCTGACCTCATATCCAGCTATTCCCAAATTTCCTAGCAGTGCTCTGAAGTTGGTAACCTAATCCAAAAGAAGTCAATAGCATTGACTTTAGCAATGCATGGCTGGCTCTTACTTCTTGGCCAATTACGTGTCCTGTACTGATTAGATTACAAAGTCGGTCAGGGCAAAAGTTAAGAAAAATCATGGCAATGTAAAATATAGAACTCATCATTTAAATGTAGGATGCTTGAAATGTGGTGGCATGCCTCTCTAACCAATTTTAAATTGTTTGTCAGAAAGTGCAAGAAACAATGAGTGTTATGCAATATCATTTGGGTATTATGACACATGCTATTATTCTAATGCAAAATTTCTGTAGTCAGAAAACCAAAGCCATGGTGAAGAGTTTAATTATGACTCTCCATACCTGGTGGCTCCTCTTTTACTCATATTTTTAATTCAGTTGCACCCTTTAGTCTTCCCCTGTTTCTTCTTGTGCTCCACTTAATAACCCCTTTGCAAATCTTTGCCTTCAATTTTTTCTCTTAACTTCAAATTTACTATTGACTCTCTCCAAAGGGTTTTATGTTACCGTACATTAAAGATGTCTTATAAAAATACAATTTAATTTTACGGCATTGTAAAAAAGAGCTCCTGTCACAATGACATATGTGTATCATTTGCACAGTCCCACAGGAAATATTCATGTAATGGTATGGAATTTGTTATACTTTATTTGGGAACATTTTTAAAATTGCCAATTTAGTTGGTAATCACTCAGCTTAAAAATGGGGAACTAGAATGAAACAGGTAATGTTATAATGCAGTGAGTTACCAACAAGTTCAAAAGGACTCCAAATATAAGGATTAACTTGTGTTAGAAAGTCCTCTGCCTTTAGGAGTTTTATATTTCAGGGTACATCAAGGTGTTCCCAAGCTGATATACAGATACATCTGTGCAGCAGTGTTTCACTACAGCCCCGTAGAACTAACCTGAAACCCTGCACAACACACTGGGAGGAAACAAAAGGAAAGGTCAAAGAACGAATCGTCAAAAGGAAATGTGATCATGTTAGAACACATCTTGATGCTTTGTGTTGTAACTTGAAGTTGACTATAATTTTGCTATCAGTGTGGACACAAATCATACTCCATAGAGTGCTAGGTGGGCTAGAATAGACCAAAAGGCCGCATGCAGATGAGTGCAGCTATGCGGTATGTGGCACCGCAAATGTGTCCGCATTGCCACATGCCACACTTCAACTGTTCTCCATGCTGCTCTGTTCAGCTGTTCTCTGTGCTGCAAGGGAGCAGTATGGGGTTTTTTTTTGACTTCTGGATATCCAGAGGTCAAAAACCTCATGCAACCCTCCCCCCCTGCAAAAAAACCCAGAATGGCGCATATGAGGACAGCATGCACTGCTCAAAACTGAAGCCTGCCGGCCGACGCTCCAGTGCAGCTACCAGCCAGGCTCCAAGTGGCAGGATCACCACTGCTGTGGCCCCAGGAGGCCCCCAGGGCCCAAGGGAGGGCTGCTGGCCCCAGCCTTCCCTAACCCACCCGGGCTAACTTGCCACGCACCAGAGTGTGTGTGGCAAAGGTGTTCCCTGGGGACAACTAGCAGTGGCACAAAGTGCACTGCTGCTGGTTGTTCCCGGGGAACCAAATGTTCAGACTCGTCTGGATGCATCCAAAGGGTGCAATCAGAAGTGTAGCTCCCAGCTGTAACTCAGAATGATTTTGCAAAGTGTTCTGAGTTACATTACCCCAGACCAAACAGAAGTTAACTATTGTTTCCAGGGGAGAGGAGAATCTAGCTGCCTTCAGGAAGAGGGCTCTCTGCCAGTGCTCACTGTTTAGAGAACGGGAAGGGGGAAAGACAGCAGAAGAAGCTTATTCTTGGGGCTCTCCAGCTGGTGCTGAAGGGTGGGGTGGGTGAATTGGAGCCCCCTCACTGCAATACACCCACCCTGCCCTCCATGGGGGCTGAAACCCCCCCAGACTGAATTCTCCATGCTCCCTTTCCTCCTTCTCATTCTGAAAATTGCAACAGGCTGAGAGCTCCACAGACACAAGTTGCAAAAGACGCTACATGTTGTAACATCCTTAACTGATATCTCATGCAATGAGGGGTCAGATTTTCACCCAATCGGCCTTTTTTGAAGCTGTTTGCAGCTGTACACTTGTGTTTGGTCACAGCTATGAACTGCTTTTGATGGCCAGATCAGGCAAAAATTGTCACTTCCATCTGCACTTCCATCTGCACCCAAATTGGCCCTGTCAAAGGCCCTGTCAAAGACATTTCAAGGTTAGTAAGATTCCTCAAAGTCATATCCTAAAGAGAAGAGGTAGGTAGAGAGGTCACTTGGGATTGCTACTTACTCACATACCTTTTCATGCCCTGTAACAATTTGTCCCTTAATGGGTACATCTACACAAGAGGTTTACTGCACAGTTGACTAATTAACTGTGCAGTAAACATCTCAGCGTCTTCCCATGCAACCCTATGAGGGTGCACAAAAGTAATAAACTCTGCAGAAGGGTAGTATTTCTAGTACTACCCTGCTTTGCAGTTTTTTCATGCGCAGCAGTGGACATGTAGACACTGACCTGGCTGGCTGGGGCATGAGGGTACTTCAGTGCAGGGACTGTCTACTAGCCAGCCCCAAACTGAAGCACCTTCGTACACCAGCCAGCTGCTCCACAACGTACTGAGCCTGGACGGAGCAGTCCGGGGATGGCAAGCTTAGCCCTGGGGCCCCCTGCCAGATGAGGCTCCTGCAACCCAGCTCAATGTCCTGTGGTCCAAGCTCACATGTAAATGGCATGCCCAGGAGCTCCTAAGCGCAATAAACTGCAGAGCAATAAACTCTGCAGTTTATTCCTGCACACAAGTGGTAATTATAGATGTACACAATGTACACCATACTTTGTCCCAAGCTGTATTAGTAAATTGATGTAAATACAGGATTTACCTTTATTTGTAGAGCTAATTGTACCTTTCCCCAGAGTGGAGGGGAAATGGGGTATCAAAAACAAACCCATTTACCGAAATAAATTACTTTTCATTGCATTTGTTATTTATATCCATAAAATACCAGGATCTGACGAGCAGTTTTTATTTTAACCCCATCTTCTCCTCTTGAAAATGAGAATTGTCTGAACAGTGCTAATTTTTCTTTTGTGACATATTTTTAAAAAAATTCTAATTGACGTATCCTCCCAAAAAACTGCTCAAAACTGTTCAAATTCCATTGCTCCCCCATAGGGATTTTCAATTTTTTATTATTTTTTTGCCAAATGAAATTGCTCCCTAAATAACTGGCATTTTTCATCCCATTCAGATTATTCTGTGTGCAAATATGATGGCAAGTTTTATATTTAAATAGATTGCATCAATGGGTGTTGTGTGTGTGTGTGTATATATATATACACATATAAACACACACACACACACGTATGCATGTATGTATGTATATAACACCCATTGATGTGAGAGAGAGATATATATATGTTTATGATTGTGATTATATATTGCTCTCCGTAAGCTTGCGATCAATCTGAGTTTTTGGTGCCATAAATAAAGGTTGAGAAACAAATCCAGCCGCATTGTAATGATGTGCACTACAAACAAAATGCATTCTTTTGTATTCTGTAAATGGACTATTATCTTGTCCTTCAATGCTCAGTTGGTTTCCCTTACTAAAAAAATTTAATAGATAATTTTACAGCTGAATAACATTTGACCTTGGAACTGCTCACTGAAATCAATGAGGCAAGTTCATTTTTATGCAGCATCTATACACTAAAAAGGCAATCTAAGTAATTCCTAACATGAGATAGCTTAGCAATAAGAAAGATTGGTTTCCTGTAACGTGAAAGGGTCTGAGAACAATATGAGGGTTAGTTGCTGTCCTGACTCCAAAATAGACGGCACTATATTTTATCAAACTGAGACACACATGAACCTCAAAAGTCACAGTTTTATTTGTGACAGGGAGTTATATTGATCTTGAGAGCTTCAGCCCTGCAAATATAATTCTGAGGTGGGTGGGAATGGTGAAGGGAGGAAAGTTTCTTTTTCCTGAGAAATATTACTGAAGATCTAGCACATGAAGTGTTAATCAGCATAGTTCTCTTGCATGCAGCCTAACTATACTGACTCACACCTGTGGAGGATCTTAGCTTTTTTTGCAAAGCATAACACAAGACTTAATATTGCGGTCTACCTAGGCCATCAAAGGTAGTGGGCTTTCTACTACTAACCTATGAACCATCAAACTCTGGAGTGTCTAGACCTGAATCCCTAGAATTTAGCTGAAATCTGTACTTTTGGTCCAGGCTGTGGTTCAGTGGTAGAGTCCTTGTCTTCCAGGCAGGAGACCTAGGGTTTGCTACCTGGATGTGCATATAATGACAGCTATTGAGGCACCAAATGTCTGGACTTGGTCTGGCCTTTGGATTCTCTCTCAATGTTCTCAAAGGGGAATGGCAGGGAAGCCCCCACTCCTCCATACTTCTGCCTAGGCATATGCATTGAAGATCCTGGTGACCTCTCATGCATACTCCATGATCCAGAAGGATTAAGAGTTGCTTGCTAGTTCCAAAGTTTGAAGGTCTTAATTTTCCAGTTCAAACCTAACAAGAACGTCATGGTATAATTTCAGCCTGGAGAGACCAGGGTCAGAAAAACTAGGCTATCTGCTGTCCTGTAAATCTCCATGTGAACCATACACTGGAAGAAGTCCTGTGGAGTTTTTCTTCCATGGCAAGACCCTAGAATGGCATTTTCCCCTACTGCTCCACTTATATAGCTTCCCTTCAGTAGGGTATAAGCTGCTAAATATAATCATAGCCCACTACCTATATTCTGCTATTGTCTGCTAGGTAGGCTGAGCCAGAAGAATAGTTTTTACTAATCAGTGGAAGTAACAACACTGCAGGTCTGCTAAAAGATTTGAGAACTGTCTATAGTTTGATTCTGGTGTAGTGTATACAGTCACCACTCACCCCAAAGCAAAGCGATTTGTACAGCTCTTAAATTAGTACTAACACCCTTGAAACCTGCTGATGCCCTGCTTTGGAAGTGTTCTCCAGAAATGCCTTAGGCCAATAAGCTTGTTGGACCAACAATCAGAGAATTTCTGGGCAACTATGATTGTGGCAATGATCTGGTACATGCCAGCAGAATCACTCAATAACACACAAGAGACTACATGGCTAAATGCTGAAGGCCGTACATGCAAAAAACAATTGGCCCAGTGTACATATTAATCTTTCTATTAGTTTTCTTTTGCAAACACACATTTAATACAACCAATTCCATTAATCTTCTCTTTTCCACTTTCTTTTTTTTCCTAAGAAATGTATAGATTTTTCCTTCCATGTCATTTGTAAGCTTCTCACATTTGCAGCTCTAAAGCTGTGTCCATTCACAACCATATAATTATCTGCAGCTCTGACATGAATGACACTCCTGATATTGGTTAACTAAGGTCATTTATGGCAGCTCTTCACATGTCAGTGAGAAGCACAATTTATCCATCAGGGACACTTCACAACAATGTGCCCAAAGACAGAAGAAAATATGAATGATCAGGGCTAAAACATCAGCTGCCCCTTTATCATTACATAAAGGAGGTAATGTAGTACATCCATGAATTTTACTTGACCTAACAAAAATGCTGAAAGTGAAGAGCTCAGCAGTTTCCAAAAACTGTAATAAGAAGCAGCAAGTGCTTTTCTCCCATGAGAAAACCCCCCCAAACATGTGATGGCTACAATGTGGGATCTGTTTAAAAAATCAATAAAGATAGCTACTTCACTTTTACAATGTGGAACTTTAGAATATAGAACAATTACCCTGAATTATATAAATTACAACTTAATTTACAGTGCAAATTATATACCGAATTCATTTCACAAAACAACTCACTTGAGCATAGAAGTCAATTTAATTATTATTTTGGAAAACTGGGATTGGATTTTGCATTGTGTACCATATTCAAAAAAATATTGCATATGTAACTCAGCAGGAGATTCATATGTACTCAGAAACTAATGAGATGTGGGAAATAGATTTTGTATCATAAAAAGAAAATTACTAAATGAGAGAAAGAGTTTAAGAAGATCTGTTAGAGCAAAAAGAACCATTTCTTCGCAAAACTGAACTCCTGCCTTTTCTGCACCTCTGATTTTTGCCATCCCAAGTGACCTTTTCATTTCTGTAGCCATTTTGCAACATTCTGCTTTTTCCTTACTGAAAGAATTGTGCACACTCAACATTTTAAGAAGGAAAAAAATAGACTGGAGATAAATAGGAGTAAACAGTTTACAAAGAAAGTTGGAAAGAGAAACACATTTTCTGTTTTCATGTAAGGATTTTGTTCTGCCTCTATATTGGATGACTGCTTGTCTAAGGCATAATGAAAACAATTGGAAACAAACTGTTCTATTGCCACATTGAATTTATTCATTATTTTAAATAATCTTTAAAATTCCATTCTCATTTAGGGGCCTGATTCAAAGTCCATTCAACTCTCACTGCAGTTAATGGTCTTTGAATCAGCCCACTGGTCAATACTTTAATGCCACTGTTCATATTATTCCAGCTTTTAATAAAAACTGTGATTAAATGATGTTTCACCTGCTTTCAAGTTTTAGTTTGGAAATCTCACGTACTCAATTTATTTAATCATTTGTGCAGGCTTGTTCAGCAACTCAGGTATTTGACATTAACATCTGGCACCTTTTTAATGACTGCCTACAATGCAAGACTGGACACAAATGTAAGGTGTGACTTTTCAATTGACTGATAATGGCTGCCCGAAAAGTGCTGCTCTGCAGGATGAATTAAAAATTCTCTTTAATTAAGAGCTATGCATTTTGAGAAAGTTAGTGAAAGATGTCTCTGTACAGAGTAAGAAAAATACATATTCATATTTCTATAAGGCAATCAAGATGTTGATGTTAATATTAGAGCAATAACTTTAATTGTATTTCAGCAAACGAATGGCAATTAGGAAACAAATTATCTCAGAGAAGCATGTCTTCCACACAGCTCAGCCCTGAAGGCAAGCCAAAAGCTAAACCTTCTTCCTGAATTTTAATGCAGGAGATAAATAGACACACCTCTGGAATTATTCCAAATAGAAATACCTTAAACGGTTTAAAGTTACTCTGAGACATAAATGTAAAATCTGTCTTTCCTCTCAAAGTGGATTCTTCTTTGCTATGACTAATATCAACATGTCAGGAAAGGTAATTTATTTTATGCCTTAGAGATGAGGAAATATAACAGATGCTGACCACACAGCTTAAAAATATACTATGTATATATGAAATGTTCCACAGGTGTAATTCTGTGCATACATGCAAAATTGAAGACTCAAGGGCTGTGTCCAGATATGCAGGTATGTGTGGTTTGTGGCACCACAAGGCACCACAAATCACATGCATAAAATGTTAAAATGTGCCTTGTGCTGCAACTTTGCATCACAGGGGTAAAATTTACTACTTGGATTTCCCGGTCGCAAAAAAAAATAGCGCTGGGAAAAAGAGCGATGCAGGACACACAAAAGTAGTGTATGCTGGAACAAACAGGGACTTGGTTCTCCAGTGAGATGCTCTGATGACATCTGTATTGCTCCATTTGTGCCCCTGATGCTGCAGCACACTGGAAGCTGGGAGGAGCTGGGCAAAGGCAGTTTGTTGTGGGACACATTGTCCAACTTTGGGCAAAGTGCATGCACAGGGGTGTGTGCTCAGGCACAGAAGTAACTGCACAAATTTTGCTGCTACTATTTGTATCACTGCAAGCTCATGCCCTGCACATCTGGATGTGGCCAAGGGCTGGATCCAGACGTGCAGGCATGTGCAATTTGTGACACAGCAAACCTTTTTGCAGCACCACAAGCCACATGCCCAGCATGTTAAAACATGCCCTGCATTGCAAATGTGCAGTGTGGGGACAAAATTTGCTACCAGGAAATCCCAACAGCAAAAAAAACAGGCACAGAAAAAAGCGGCACAGCATACGCGAGAGGAGTATGCACCGGCAGACATAGAGTCTAGGTCCTCCCAGGAGATGCTCTGGCTCCTGGCCAGAGCATCTCTACTGCTTTAGTTGTCCCCCAGCATGGCAGGACCTGGGAGGAATGAGGAAATGGCAGTTTCCCTAAAGTGGGGCAATTTGCCCCACACGAAAACATGTGTACAGGGCCTTGCACTGTGGCAAAAAGCAGTGACACAAATTTGTGGTGCTACTATTTTTGCAACAGCAAGGGATGGGCCCAAGGGCTACGTCCAGATGAGTGCAGCCATTTGTTTCTCCAGGGACAAGTAGGATTACCCCAGGAGGGTAGGAGAGGCTGGAGTCAGCAACTGTGCTGACCCCAGCAACCTTACTTGGGGTTCTGGGGGCCTTGGGGAGCTGCAGCCATGGCACTCCTGCAGCTGGGATCCTGGGCTGCAGCCAGATTGTGGCTCTAGCCAGCCAGGCTCCAGTTTTGGGCGGCACATGCTGCTATGATATGTGCCACCCAGCTTTTTTGGCATGGGTATTTTTTGACCCTGGGGCATGGTCTGGCCCTGATATGGCCGTGTGGAAGGAGGGGCATGCCCAGGGTCTGGCCCACCATATAAGGCTTGGGATTTTGGCAGTGGGGAGAGGTAGCAGCATTAACTGCCACTGCTCGCCTGCCACCAAATTTCCCAACCCTTGGGGAGTCCCATAGGCTGGATTCCAAGACTCTTCAGGTTGCATTTGGCCTGTGGGCCAGAGGTTGAGCACCCCAATACACACAATAATGTACAACTAACTTCTGAGGAAATGTAGGGTAGTGAACTTGTCATGCTTAGGACAGTAAGCTTGTTAAAGCATCCAGAACTACTTTACATTATCAAATAAATCTAAGACTTTCTATGTACTGATTGCTTTTCTGTGATGCAGCATTTTCCCTTCATTAAAAAGAAAACTTTTGTAGGCTGTGGACATGGCCAGTGATTGATAGACACAACTGATCAGTGCAGACTACAGCCTAGCGTAGCCCAGGTACACCTAGGGGGGTGTGCCCTGTCCTCCAGTGACAGTAGTGGGGGTCAGGCAGGGTGCTGATGGAGCAACTAGAGCAGTTCCCTCTCCTCCCTACAGAGCCAGGCTGAGACTGAGTGCTTAACTATATACAATTTATTACTATAATAAATACTTAAGATAAAACATGAAATATTTACAATAAAGCTTAGCATATATCACTACATATAATATCCCACAATGCACATACACCATATAACATACAACATATATCTATGAAATCTATGAAATATATAATAATTAATACATTGAACAAGATAGTTAAGGTTACAACATGATAAACACATATGGGGGCTCAACTTACATAACCCAAATAAGTTAATAATATTTCCTAGACCTACATATTAATACATTAAGAACATATAAACCACATAAACTTCCTTAAAGGATACCCATAGCTATATAGACCTTGACATAACAATCATCCAAAATAGAGAGTGCACTCAGTACCTCCCCAAGGGGTTTCCTTGGAGCCCCTCCCGTTTAGGGTCCTGGGATATGGACCCGCAATGGAGGGTGGAGGTGGCAGAGCCTCCAGTCCTGTGCCTGCCTCCCTTGTGGGGCCCGCTTCCCCAGCAACTCACGCTTCCTCTCTGAAGTAGCCAAGGCTCATCCCCTGGAGGCTGATCCCACAAGAGCCTCTCTCCAATGGTGCCTTTCGCTCTCCTAGATGGCCTGGTGCCCCGCACTGGACAGCCCAGGGCTCTCTTTCTCTCATGGTAGCCAAACCCTTACAGGATCTGATTCCCTGGTTTCACACTGGGGGGTTCTTCCTTTCCCGGGCCCTGCTCTGGGCACTGGGGCTCTTTTAG